AGGATTATTTCTTAATTAGAGCAGTGATTAACGGGCGTACCTTGATCACCGACACAGTAAGGAGGGGTTGACTGTCATCGCTTGTTTGGCAGTTATAACCTATTTATCAGTAAATAATTGGAATTGGTTTTGCATCAATGATCAATTAGGTGAACCATTGCTGAAGTTATTCCTTGGCTAGATCCTTAGTTATCACTCATTAGATTTTAGTAAATTGTTATTTAATTTCTAGTTGGCTATTTTATTTTTATTATTTTACTTTTAGTTGAATTGTTTAAATTATCACCCCTGATATAAAAACACCCCCATTGTCACTGTGAATTTGGAAAGGAACAAGTACTCCCAATCCCTGTGGATTCGACCCTACTTACCACTATCTACAGAAATTACTTTTAGTTTGAGCAGGTTTTATTATTACGCAGGCTTTGACAACCTGTCAGAAATTTCAAGTGAAATGATTTTAAAACCTTTTGAAGCATTTACATTTGTCTACTTCTTGGAAGTTATGGTACTCTGTAGTTTGCAAACTAAGACGCATATAAAATGGACTTGCTTACGTTCGTTATCTTCTAACTCAAAATTTTCAGATTCTGTGGATATTTCTATACATTTGTTAGGGACAATCCAATGAGATTTCTGGTACCCGTAATCAGCATGATCGCTAAAAACCATGAATGAATGAGTTTTGGAGGATCAAATGCAACGGGTACGTGTTCGAATTATCTTTGTCCCTCAATAGTTTTTTTTTTTTTTATTATTGGTATAGGGAAAAGTTGGGTGGGTTCGATACCAATTACCAGTTAAAGTATGCTTGTGGCATCATAAAACACTTGCAAGAATTCTTACAAATTGTTCACCAATACACTTTTTACATCTGTAATAGAATTCGTGGGTTACAATGTGATTCAACTTTTTGTCTCAGCCAAGCAGTTGCTTGACACAGCCATCCTTGGTAAATTTGGTTTAAAAAGTTGACATTAAAAAAAAAAAATTGGTATCCAATTTTCTTTTAAATTGTCTGAATTTTGACATTGTCCTTTTTTTTGCCACAACATAACATTTTTATAATTTAATTCATCCTATCTATCTATAAGGAGAGGAAGGCTGTTTGAATTTTGACATTATTCACTTTTCATTTTTTTTTCTGTGTATTTATTACGTAATGCTGATTGTATCCGACAATCTACAATACAAGTCAAGATAACGACTTCTGAATAAAGTTGAATCTTTCGTTAGAAAAGAGCGACCCAAAGCAAAATATCTTCTTTTCTTTTCTTTTCTTTTTTTTTTTTTTTTTTTTAGGAATGCAAAGCATCTTTCGAGAAACGAAAGCCACAAAAGTGTAAAGTCTATCTTTATGCATCCTAATGAATCTTCATCATGTGTCTAGAAAAGGGCTTCAAACGCAAATACATAAACAAAACAAAACAAAACGCTATGGACGGTTGGTCCGCCACGGAAGGACAGTCTATCAATTACCTTGGTAGACCCAAATTTAAAAAATCTGGCAGAATCTAGATCATTGGGCATTTAAAAATCGATTTACTCGTGTGAGCCATCGCAGAGTACAAGTGTGAGCCATTACGGAGTTGTGAGGTCAACCTTGAAAAAATTCATAAAGCAAACAAGGAAAGTTTTGAAAATTATAAGCTGGTCATGCATTTACACTCCCTCAAATTTCTTGGATTTCCTTTCTCCTTTATATAGTCCCTCTAACTTTCAAAGTAATTGCATTTATTGCCTTCTTGAACGTGAATTCATTCAAAATGATATTATATGTTATTTAAATCAAATAAAGAATCTTCAAACTTAGTAAGAAAATTTTTGCCTTAGATGATAATGTAATGTATATTAAAGTAATTGCCCCTAACCTTTGGATCTTGATTTCACCGTTGCCTCTGTGAAGAATATACTATATGTACACATATATTGTATAACAAAATATATGTATTTATTATAGAAGTACACATAATATTTGTGCCGTGAGCGTTGCGAGAAATGTGATAGAAACATCACCAAGTGCAATTGCAATATGAGACTCTTAGAGGCACCTGGTGAAGATCGATCTACCTTTTGTCAAATTTTGTTCACAAAATGTACAATTACCATAATTGTTCAAGGGTCAAATTTGGCCAAGAAAACAAAAACTTAATTAAGAAATCGCACAGTTTGTTTGTAAAGAACTATTTAAAAATCTGTATGCTGTCCAATAGTGGAACCACTGCCCCAAAACTCCCGGGTGACAATGTGAAATCTGAAGGCACTACGCACCCAGAGCCAGAAGACGCATAAAGAAGCCAAATGAAGCAACAAGATGATACTAGTCAATAGAATTGCTCAAGTACAAAAGTGAATGAGAAAACACAGGGCGAGCACTTGAACCTTATTTTGTTCTTTTTCTTTTTCTGTTTTTTGGACAGACTGCACATGAAATTGGGTAAGAATGATAATTATCTTTGAATTGACGTGTCCTAATGTCGCTCTATGTTACCTAAAATCTGAACCAGAACTAAATTTTCTGGACTTTCTGTTGATTTATTTAGCCCGCACGGCATTCGGCGTCGCACTCCTCCTTGAAACAACGTTGAATTTGGGTGTAGTGTGGGAGGATGATATGAATTTTTGCTGCGTAGCAATTTTGGAAGTATATTTATACTTTTACATTTTCTAAGAAGGAATATCTTGGAAACATTAGAAAATAAAAGACTGTCTATACCAGATAAGCATCAGCACTAAATTGCCAAAACTTTGCAGTTTTTGTACTAAAATCTAGAATCCCTTTAGAAGGCAATTGGGAAAAAAAAAAAAGAAACATAAATATAACCAATAATATTTTGGAAAAAACTGCTTTCAAGTTCAAGATGATTTTAAATTTAAAAAGCAGAAAGACAATGACATTCTTAGTGGAATGCTTACTAGTTTTCCTATTTTTTTGGGCAAATTATATTTTACCCCCCTGTGGTTTACCCTTTTTTTACATAACCCCCTATGATTTCAAAAACTATACATAATCGCCTCATAGTTTGGATTAAAGTGTCAAAGTAACGGAAATAGTCACTCGTAATAGAACTTCTAAAAATGTCGAAATTACTCTTATAAATACATGACACATTTACCCCGTATGATTTTTATATTTTACCATATAACTCCCTTATAGTTTAATAATTTACCATATAACCCCCTTATGATTTTCAAAATATACACATAACCCCCCCCCCCGATTAATACATAAATTTCAACTTTACATAAGGGTATTTTTGACATTTTAGGTGACGCCGTTATGAATGATCATTCCCGTCACTTTGATACTTTATTCCAAACCATAAGGGGATTATGTATAACTTTTGAAACCATAGGGGGGTTATGTAAAAAAAATGCTAAATCACAGGGGGGTAAAGTGAAATTTGCCCTATTTTTTTTAGTAGCTTTTGGAGTTAAAATGGACTAAGCTATTCAGATGGTCCTTATTATCCCCCTTCTGAGAAAGGAAAAGGAAAACTATTAGCAAGAGACGAGTCATTAAGCAGTTATCATTTTGGCATCCAATTTGTCATTTTCCACATTAATCCTCACAGAAAGCAAATTTGAAATTTTACCATATACCATACACCTAATCTACCATATATATACATATACTAACAATTATTGTCCTCCATTCCATTTATATATTTTCTCTATTTAATCTTGCCTATTTTCTTTCTCTATTTAATCTTACCTATTTTCTTTTGTATTTATTTACTTTCCCTAATTAATCTTACATTCCTAAAAATATGTTATCTGAAATATATCTTAACAAATACCCTATAAGTATCCATTAGATAGACCTCAAAAACAGAAAAGAAAGAAAAACTATAATCGTTTAAGGGCAAAATGTTGTAATGGCTCTCAAACTATTACAAAATTTAACTTTTGACCATCCAACTATTAATTAATAAGTTTTAGTCCTCCAACTAATTAAAACATGTAATCATAAACCTTCCATCAACTTAAATCGTTATATTTAATAGAAATAGCACGATATGCACAATAGTAGCGCTCAAACTATTATAAAGTTCAACTTTTGACCCTCCAATTATTAAATTATAATTTTTCCCCTCTAACTAATTAAAGTGTATAATCTTAAGGGAAAATCGCCAATTTAGTCCTTAAAGTATTTTACTAAAGCTGATTTGGTCCCTCAACATTTTATCGCACGAATTAAGTCCCTTAACTAAAATTCTTGTGCCAATTAAGGACCTATATGGTGTTGCCATCCAAAACACATGTATCTGTACAGAAACAAATGGCGAGGCATGGGCTTTTTTGGAAGTACACAATAGAATTTCTACGGGAAGCAAAGACATAACCCATTTCGCATCCAAATTGGGGGAAACCTGTGAAATTAGGGGTTTCCAAGACTGAACCCATTTTGCATCCAAATAGCGGAAGAAATTAGGGGTTTTCCACCGATGCAAATTGCCAGCAATGGAGGGAGATTTTTGCACATGAAACTTGAGAAAGGACTTAAGGGTTGAACAGACTAAAAAATACATAACAATAAACTCAACCATAAGGTCATCAGCCCAAGTTTCTACAGGACTTGCATTTCTATGAGTATATCTGCCAAACAAACATCCAACATAAGATTGACATACATGATTGCATAAAAGCTTATTAATACCTTCAACCAGCTAGAAACCAACTCATTTTACAGGCTAATAAGCTTTTCAAATGATACTTGGACTCACAAAGATTAGAAAAAAGATCAAGAATCCATGAACTCATAGTATTATCACTTTTCTTCCAAGAAATTAATAGTACAACATAAACTAGTAAACAAAAGGGATAAATTTGTACCTTACTTTATTCGTGTATCCAGTGTACATCTGTACAAAGGTTTTCACCATCATGAGTTCCTCTAGTTTTGCCTTTTGCCCGTAATAGAATATGCAGACTCCAACTATAAACAATGCATGCGCTCAAGGGTGCTCGCATTGCAGCAAAGTAAGTGACGAAAAAAGCATCGTGGACGCATAAATTGGATGGCGGACAAACCGCTATGGCCCAAACAGCACAACAGCAGTCGGCACAACTACCTTCTCTGAATACTTTGCCAAATGCAACGTGGAGTGGTACTGCATAAACAATGTCAACATTATCAAAATCCAAATGCCCAAATTACTCCAGCCACCAGGAACAAGATGTAATTCTGGCCCCTCAAATGCTGCAAACCAATGGCCAACCATCACTCCAACACAGAACAAGAGTTTTTGCCACTTGGGCAGGGTAATATCCCACACGGGATCATGCTCTCTGGGATAATAATCACCATACAACCGCTTTCGGACACTCACATTGAAGAAAAAGAAGTAGTGGTAAACAAAGAAAAACACAATAGGCCATCCTTCGAGAAAACCATTGAAATGTGCTGGGGGTACTAAAGTGAGCCAAGTAAATGCTGCAGTAACAATTGAAAGCTGCTGAAAAGCATTGGCATTGCCGTGTAAATGCCGGTAAAAGCAGTAAAGACCGTAAATTGCAAGACTAATAGCTACCATCCAAGGCCAAAACAACCAAGTCCAGCTAAAATATATCCAGAAGAAAGGGCTGAATAGCACATTGATCGTCCACTTTCAGGCTGCAACTGCAATGGAGGAAGCCAAAGACCATTTGCATACCTCGAATGGGGTTAAATTTAAAAGGGTCGATTTTAGTGACTCGAAAGAAACGTTTCTGAGGGCTATTATGACTGGGTTCGGAGAGTCTGGGCTTGTTTTTACATCAAAATAGGGAAAATCGCCAATTTTTTGGAAAACCCCTAATTTCACAGGTTTCCCCCAATTTAGATGCGAAATGGGTTCTGTCTTTGCTTCCCGTAGAAATTTTATTGTGTACTTCCAAAAAAGACCCCTGCCTCGCCGTTTGTTTCTATACATATACATGTGTTTTGGGTGGCGACACCGTATAGGTCCTCAACTGGCACAAGAATTTTAGTTAAGGGACTTAATTCGTGCGATAAAATGTTGAGGGACCAAATCGACTTTAGTAAAATAGTTTGAGGACTAAATTGGCGATTTTCCCTAATCCTAATCCTTTCATCAACTTAAGTCATTATGTTGAACAAAAACACCACTACACATGTGACGGGTGCATAATCGAGGGGCGTTTTCATCTTCATAGGAAATGTGCTAGGCTAAAATTGTTTTATCCCCGTTTGACTCATAAACTAATTTACCAAATCTCCAATTGTTGAACTTGAGCAAAATCAATGAAAACCAAAACCCTAAATAGAGAAATTTCAGCAAGGATAGGCAATTTGAAGAAATTGAGTTGCTTTCATTCGGAATTCAACTCATTTTTCAATGTTGTTCCAAATTTACTAGGTTCATGTGCTTCTCTTAATGACATAAATTCGGCATACAATTCATTTTTTTGGAATATTCCAACAACTTTTGGTCCCTTTTCAAGCTTGAACTCTCTAAATCTTTCAAATAATCAATTCTCAACTTCATATCACTACATCAAACCATTTTGATTTGTCAAACAATAGGTTAGTTGGGTACATTCCAAATTCTTTATCAATAAATGTTTCTATTCGACATAATGACTTAAGTTGATGAAAGAGTTAAGGTTATACATTTTAATTAGTTCAGGGGTTAAAACTTATCAATTAATAATTGGAGGATCAAAAGTTAAATTTTGTAATAGTTTAAAGGCCATCAAGGCATTTTGCCTATCTCCTGAACTCTGTTAGATATAATGACTCAAGTTGATGAAAAGGTTAAAATTATATGTTTTAATTAGTTTGAGGGATAATAATTAGAGGGCAAAAAGTTAAATTTTATAATAGTTTGAGGGCTAGCGGGACATTTTGCCCATAGTTTAATGATTTAGTAGTTTCCATTTTGGCAACTATTTCGTCAATTTCAAACATTAATACTCATAAAAAGCAAATTTGAAATTCTATGGACTTAGAGCCTTCCAGAATTTTGCCTACCATACCAATTAATGTACTGCTGCTACAACAATACAGCCAAAAGTAGAAGCATCTCAATTGATTGAAGTACTCCGCTGATTGCACTTCCATCTCCAGCAGAGGAACTAGTCAACCAATCTTCCGCTTATGGGCTCTTCAGGAGATAGTAGTTACAAGACCCTTCCACAAAATGAGAAAAAACCAGTTTTAACACACACACAGTCTCAGGTGAGAAAGGAAGCTAGTGATGAGCTAGAAAGGATATTGAGTAACACAGAGGTACCATTTATCAAGCGGGTGGTACCAGCAACATGGATAGAGATCAAGCTTCTTGTTCACTTGGCTGCTCCCGCAGTCGTTGTTTACATGATAAACTACCTCATGTCTATGCTCACACAAATCTTTTCTGGCCATCTTGGAAATCTTGAATATGCAGCTGCTTCCCTTGGTAACAATGGAGTTCAAACTTTTGCCTATGGTCTCATGGTACTCTTGATCTTTCCTCACTTTATTTATTTATTTGTTAAACATTAAAAAGATTTATTCCATGGTACAATCCAATTTCTTCTTCTTCTTCTTCTTCGTGGGACATGAACTCCTACCGGTTACATAAAGGAAGGAAAAATGCCAAAGGGTACTCCCAAATTGCATTTTACTTGTTTATGTACTTGTTTGCATTTAGTGTCTATGGTGGTGGGAAATTTTCAAGGACCTTTTTCTTTAAAATAATGCATCCATAAAGAAATCTTTTATCGGTGTATACCTGCTTTTTGGTCCAAGAAACCAAAAATCCAAAAATAGTATTCCAGCTTTCCCTTGATGAATTTGTTGGTTCTTTGGCCTTTCTGGTGCACCAACTTTTTGCTTTTTCCTTTTACCCCTGGAATTTGAATGGTCTTTATTTGGTAATTTGTCTGATATTTTTGTCATTTCTCTCATGTTTCCTTCTTGAAGTCCAATTGTAGTTATAGAAATTGTACAATCCATAACATTTCTTTGTTTTTAAAACCTTACATAGTTCATTTTGAGACAGAGAAAGTAGAAATTTTCCAGATTATAATTCAAGTTTTGATGATCTGATCCTCATTTTTTTTTTGGGAAACAGCTGGGAATGGGAAGTGCTGTTGAAACACTATGTGGACAAGCATATGGAGCACGTAGGTACGGCATGCTAGGCATATATCTTCAAAGATCAGCCATCCTCCTAACTCTAACTGGAGTGTTACTTACAATCATATACATATTTTCTAAGCCTATTCTCTTATTACTTGGTGAAGCACTAGACATTGCATCAGAAGCAGCAATATTCATCTATGGCTTAATCCCTCAAATATTTGCCTATACTGCCAACTTCCCTATACAAAAATTTCTCCAAGCACAGAGTATTGTAGCCCCAAGTGCCTATATCTCTTTTGGAACACTAGCTTTTCATGTCTTATTCAGTTGGCTAGCAACATATAAGCTTGGCCTTGGCTTGTTGGGGTCATCATTAGTCCTTAGTGTGTCCTGGTGGATTGTGGTTGTGGGGCAATTTATATACATAGTGAAGGGTGAAAGATGCAAGAAAACATGGGCTGGATTTAGCATGGAGTCATTTCATGGACTTTGAAGTTTCTTTAGACTCTCTGTTGCTTCAGCTGTGATGCTTTGCTTAGAGACTTGGTACATTCAAATTCTGGTTTTGCTGGCTGGATTGCTGGATCATCCAGAATTGGCTCTTGATTCACTCTCCGTATGGTAAGTACATAAACTCCATTAATTAAAAAAAATGGTAGCATCTTAAAATTGTGGTTCAAATTGGGCGTTTATCATTGGTCCATTTGCACGGTTATTTTTGGAATACTACTATAAATATTGAGTATGTTTTTTATACACTATGAGTGTACAATTTTTTCTTTAGTAAGTTTACATAATGTCACCTAACATGAATTCAAATTTGAAATTCAAATCATGTATATGTGATGAACATCCATGACTGTTAGTATAAAAAAAATCACTACATTGTTAGTACATAAAAAGTTAATCCATAAATATCTCACTGTAATACTTCTTTAAAATGTACATATAAGATAAAAAGTAATAGAAAAAGGTGGTTCAAAAACCATTCAAAATTCCTTGAAAACATGCTATTATGTGCTTGACTAAGTTTAGTCTCACTCGATTGTGCCACTCTTATTACAGCTAATCCTGTCCCTTGCCCACCTACTTTGTTTTTATATCATTATTGCGTTTTTGTATACTACAAATTTTACTCCTTTACTACAAATTGTGATTTTGTATACTTTATTGTGTGCCAGGTATCAGGTATGGTAGTAAAGGAATTTCAATCAAAATGGTTTTCAGCATTTAAAAATTGACAAAGTTTTTTTACTCCCTATATTTCTAACGGGATGAAGCTTCTAGATTGAGAAGAGAAGTACAAAGTTAGCAATTTACATATTGATATACGTGGCAACACCTTTAAATTTCAAATAGGATAATTTGTTGACCAGTCTAATGGTGATGATTCATATGAGAAGTCCATGACCTCCTATTAAAGGGTTGATTTCTCTCAGTAGCCGTCAACTATATTCGGATTCTCATTTTGGTTTATGAACTATAAAGTGAGAGACTTTAGTGCTTAGAGTATAAAATTTGTCCCTCTTAACTAAAATTTGTCCCCTTTTATTTTCTAAAGTATAAAATCAGTCCCATTTTAGGGACTAAACTATAAAATATTCTATTTTTTTGTATCAAAGTGGGGACAGATTTTACTGAAGTGAGATAAATTTTATATTTTAGGAACTAAAATTTCTCAATTTAAAATTTAGGGAACAAAATAAAATCTTGGCATCGTTGAAGGGTGCAAAGTGGAATTAACCGTCTACAAAATAATTTCAAGTGGACAAACAGAGATTAACATAGAAATGCCTCAGTCCTAGTTCCCAAATTAGGATATCAGATGGAGGGCCTATTCATGTGAATAATATTTCAAAAGATCAAACGATGATTATTCGAGGTTCATTATTATAAGAAATTATTTTAATTTTATTATATTAGCATCTTATAGTGATCCATTTTAATCTATTTACAAAGTGTTGTAGCTTATTGACAGGAAAGCTAGAAGAACCCAACCCTAACCAATAAACACGCTAAGAGGGTTTATTTAAATTAGATCTTGCGTTTCCCCATCATAAAACCAATTATGGTGGTTGCCACGAGGTGTTAACTAAATGAACAATTACGGATTCTATTTAATTAACGTGGCAGTAGGCTATTAAATTAAATCAAATACCCGGCCGTTGATATTCAATTAATAAAATACCCATGAACAATTAATTCAGGAAACACACGAATAGCAATAAATTGGGAGAAATAATGAAGATTCGGTTAGATCTCACAGATGTGATGGACCGCGCCCTCGCGTCAACCTTTGGGTAGAGGGGGGAATTAGCCGCTCCTCATCATGTCAAGCTCACGCAATTTAATTGATTTCATCCCCGCAAACATCAAAGAATCTGGATTGGTGAAGTAGCGCAGATAGAAAAAGTGAAAAGTCTCGCTTGACTCTGCGTGGGAGTCCGTACTGGATTCCCCAAGTTCAATGCCAAAACCAACGGAAGTTGAATAAATTCAAAAGCGAAAAGCAAAGGAGTCAGACGC